ATAAATATTATCTTCTCACTCCATATCCCACATTAATGCAATCACTCAAAAAATTTTCACCAGAAAGCATTCGCGCTATTGCTCGAAACCCAAATATAGACTTACAATCAATAGGAATCTATTCAAAATCAGATATTCAACATCACATTAGAACACAACAATTCCAGGAATTATTAACACAAATGGACACAATACAAAGACAATCAATAGACCAAAATTTACGCAAACTTGCAGAAACCGCGGGATTTGCCGATATCTACACGCAAGACTATAGCGGATATTTTAAAGACATTAAAGATTATATATATCTAAACGGCGAAAAATACCGTCCCCAAGATATATCACCAATTAACATTTTTAGCTTTGTTACACTCAAGAATGAAATCCTTGATTTTCTAGGATGGCCCTACTACATCTTAGAAAAATTGACTATTTTATACGCAATGTTTAACTTTATTGGATTTCTTTTCTCACTCTTAAAAGGAATCTACAATACATGTGCTATACACACACAAGTAAACAGACAAGCAAGCGTAGCACGCATACTCTTTGCAGGATTTTTTGGAATTTTTTCGACATCTATAAACAAAATTCTTTTAGACGCACAAATAAAAGAATATAACACAAAAATAACAACACGACAAAATACATACGACGAAGAACATAACAATGTCGACACACAGCCAACGGCACCACAATTACCACCCCTACCAAATAACCATCCACTATCCCTAGTCCCACGAAATTTTCGAAATTTAGCCATCACACATAATCCAAACTTTAGACTCACCACATCGCAAAGTCCCGTCCAACATATAATAACACATCAATCACAAGATGATAATACTTATGAACAAATTATTGAACAACCCCATACCACCGCTTTTCAATCTCAAAATAATAATTTTTTTAGCCCACGATGAGCCGCCAACTTGGATCACTCCATCGATCAAATTCCCATCCAACCAACCTTCCTTCTTCAATCCCAATAATACCACTTTTTGCTTTTCCGCCACCCGATTTTCCACCTAGCAATGTAACATCAGGCATGAATTCCGACACTAACTCACAAATTTCAGTTTTATACTCCATTTCACAGCTAAATAATCCGAATATTGAAACCCCCGATGAATTTGCCGACTCAGAACCATCTCCATCCAATAATTTTCATAACCCTTCTCATTTTTCTCAACCTCCTTTTCAACCAATATTGTCAAATAACCCTGACCCAATCACTCCCACACCCTCTTATGCTTCCCAAGTTACCCCAACCTATTCCTCATACCATTCTGACCAATCATCTCCAGACACCCCCCGAATCTCCCCAGAGCTAGACAATTTTATTACCCTCCAACAACAACCCTACCACCTTAACACCCCGACCATAAACCAAATCTCCTCCACTACAAATTCATCCAACCCCCCTACACCCTCTTCAAATTATACTGAATCATTAGCACCATCATCCACATCAACTGAATCCTCACTCAACACTAATAGAGCTTACCGCACTTTTAAAAGAAAGTTCCCCAACCATCCTTTCCCAGCAAAACCAGGAACAGCCCGTGAATACATCAACCACCCCCAACATACTAACACCAAAGAATTTTTAGCTATCACTTTACCCTCATTTCCACAATACACCTTAAACACCCCTCATGACGCTAACGAAACACGCAACTTTGTAGACGAATACGTTTTAATGCCCACTCTCTCTTGGACCTCATACTATCATTTCACTAACCCTCTTTGCTTACCTTTAACCAACACTTCCATCGATACAGACCGAAACAAAGATATGCTATATCGACTAACTACACCACTCACCGCTAGACAGTTTACTTACGTAGGATATAAAAAATCACTAAAAATACACACTGCACCTAGAGCTAATGAATATACACTAGAATACTACGATCACAACATCATCAGAGCTAACCAAGATCAATTCTTAGACGACGATCGCTTCGCTAATCCACAAATCACCGAGAAATTTTTCATCAAGACACCATATGTATTTACACTAAACATTTTCGACCGAAAGTTTGATCACATTATTTCAGAAGCACTAACAAACACACAAGCATACGAAAGTTTTAAAGAACGCTTCCAAATCTTTTCACTAACCTTTCATTTCCTTGCACCACACGAAAGAGATTTACACTGCTCACACGATATTATGTTGCGCACTAAACAAACACATACATACAGTTACTATCGTTTCATCCAAAATCACTTTGACCTCCACACACCCTCTAGACAACCACACCATCGTTTCCAATTCATCAATTCAAAATACACTTCACCGTATTTCCTAAATTTCACTATTGTATTAAAGACACTAACCTCCATGGTATTCTTCGTAATTATGACCCCATAACCCAAATGTATATTTTCTGCCCCATCACCAAGACCTTCAACGCCGAAGAATCCCGACCCTTCCTTATCCCGCACGAGTTTGTACAGCCTATAGAGATCCCAATTTTAGAATTCATCCACAACACTAAATTTAACCACAAATTATATAACTTAATCCAAAACACACCTTATGAGTTTGCAGTAGGCACTGAAGAACTAACCACTATTAAGGCACTTCAATTGCTTTGGCCACTGCTTCAAACTAAAAATATCATCCGCATCTTAGCTAAACTACTAACAACTTCAGAACTAATTCACGATATCTTCCCCCACGGTTTTTTCCCCGACGACTAACAGGTAAGTATGAATTCAATGAATATTACTAACTAATTAAAATATTAAAAAACTCACCATTCTTTATTCATGTTTTCTTTAGATTTTTAGCCTTCATCCCAGATCATCTGAAAAATTCACAAAAGAAAAATAAAAAATAGCAAACTTCTTCAAAACTGTTAAAAACCCTATTAAACTTGTGCACCAACAATTAAATAAATATAATACCAATGCAGTAAATTAATTTATAAAATTTTCCCCCAAAGCAGTAAATCTAATTATGATGAAAATTTGTATCTTAAAATTCCCCCATAACTAGCAGTAAATTTCCAAATTCTATGCAGTAAATTAATAAATGGCAATTGCAGTACTAACCTTTTGATATTTTCATTCATTCGCACAGAAATTCTATCCACACTCGCACAGCTCGCCCACGAAGAATTGTTTAAAATAATGAATTTCAGTTTCAAGTTTTCACACTCAACAACTCTAACATATAATAACATGTTTCAAACTTTCCTTTAACCCGGTTGGAAAGGAATCATATACTAAACAAAACTAACCAACGCAGCTTACTAAATACCACAAATCATAGAATAACAGCATGACTAAGAAACGGAAACCAACGGTACCCAAACCGGATTAACCCAGTTTAAAACTGGATAATTTATTCTTTTGAAGACTATTACAAAGTCTTAGAAAGAAATAATAAAACACAAAAAAGTCGAAAGACAAACCCATACCACAAACAATTTGCTTTTTAGAAAAAGTACATAACCAACAAGACATAAGTAAAACCACAACAAACCCAACATAAAACGTTGTCACATAACAGGACCCCTCACAAACACCGCATGAAATTATACTCCCACACCTGGCCTAACCCACCAGGAAAGGACGTCCTGAGCATGCTCTATAGCCGGCCTAACCCACCGCGCTACATCCACGCTTTGTGACCACACCTTTATTTTTAATAAGAGCTACTCAAGGGTGAGTAACTCTTCAAAATAACCGAACTAAAACAAAAAGCTTTTGTGAAAACAACTAACTAAAATCATAATTAAAAAATACTAAACTAATAAAAGTTTTATAAAATGTAAAATCACATGATGCAATATATAGATCAGAATACAACACCAAGGACGAACATCAAAAGACAAGACGACCTCACTACACTCGAGAGAGAATGACCAACTACAATCGATATGCCGCTCACAATCACAACTCAAAGGATTTAGAGTACGACTTGACTTCGCAGAAAAGGACTTCATTGAACTAGACCAATGACCACCTCGATGTTCAAGTATACGTACAGATCCGAGTAACCAGGCATCCCCTCCACGCACAATCTCCACGCCATTCCCAAGCTAGATCAAACACAAAAGAAGTTCTCTCCGAAGAACAGAAAAACCTGACATAGCCAACCATTCTGAAATCAGAATTGATGCTGTTGCAGAGACTCAGTCGATGTCACAAGAAGAAGCGGAAGAAAATTATGATGTTCGCCAAATACCAACGTCCATCATCCATCCTTGAACTACAGAAGAACTGTTCTAAAAAACTCTGTAAAACCCGGATGGGTGGAACCTGATCTAAACTACATTTTATGATTGGATAAATTAAATGTTTTACCAATGTAAAGTATTTAATATTAACCAATCATGATCCATCTGACTAACAACCCACTTATTTGTAAGTGCTGAAGTTACTTGTAATTTCAGCACCAGAGAGATTTGAATTTAACTTAGAAATTAGTTGGACTCTCCCGAGCACTTCAGCAGCCGCAATAAACCAGTATACCCTAGATCTATTGAGCCTAGCAGAGACTAGTTAAACAACCTGAGACTAGATAGTATAAGAGTAAGATTAGGATCGGTATTAGACTAAGAAGTTGCACGAATCTATCCGGCCGAAAATAAGATAGCGTGACGAGCAGACGGTGTACCCTATCCGAAATTACTCTATGAGTTACACTTCGGTCTTAACTCAATTATGTTCCGACGATTTGAAAAACGTGTTTATCAGTTTTCTCAAACGCATTGGTCTATACGCAGAACGCTAAAGCAATTTTTATCAGAATTAGAATTTTCAAAATTAAACAAAAACTTTGTCTTGCGCCCTTTGACGTCAGTCACTCTCATAATTAGTTCGAGCTGGTCAGCATGCAACACATATCAGACCGACTGCATTACCAATTTTTGCACTACATTTAAACCCGTTCTGCTCTTGGACTGTTATGGTTTTAGACCGGCCACCGACGGTATCAAAAATAATTTTCCAAGAGCAAGCAATCTAGTGGTGTCTTTTAGGTGACGGTTGTTGTGATCGACGTGAACGACAATGACCCCCAGTTCATCACTTCACTGTTCCCCTTTGAAGTGGCGGAGGATGTGGATGTCAATGGGGTAGTGGGGAGAGTGGAAGCGTCTGACCTTGACGAAGGAGAGAACGGACGCATCTCTTACTCGTTCAATGCCATTAACCAGACCAGTTAGTAGCCGAAAGACAGTCATCGAGAAAATGAATGATGATCGCATTTATGGTTGTTGTTCCGCTGTTCATTGTTGTTTTATTTTGGTGGCAGTTTAACTTATCATGCTCTATGGTTCGGTTCCCGTAGAGGGAATTTTTTTTTTCAGAACTCAGTCGTACTTTTATTTTAGGCCTTTTTTTATTTTAAAAATTTTAAATGTTTTCTTGCCGTTTTTTTTCCGCTTGTTTTGCAAAAGTGCCGTGCCGCCTCTGTATTGAAGAAAGTGACGGACAAAATATATACTTTCGATCTGGGTTTTTTATTTCATCAGATGTTTTTCAAAAAACGACTTCGCCCAATCTTGGAGTTTTTAATTTTCTAAAACCTTTGTTGCTTTTTTTATAGCAGAAATATCATTTTTTTCTTTTTACGACTCCTTTTCTGCCGATTCTGTTACTATCATCAAATGGCAAACCCATCCAGAAAAAACATTGCAAAATTTTGAATTTTAATGGACAGAAAATGACAACTTTTCTTAGATTAACCAGCCAGAAGCTTAATCCGGAGGTTAATCATGAAAGGTTTAGTAATCTATGGCTATTAACAGAAATCACCTTGTATGTTGCAACGCACGCGTTGTTTGAGCCCGCTGTTATATTGCTTGGCACCATCATTGCCGATGCGCCTTAAAGCTTTGAGCAAACGAATGATCTTCTTTTTTCACTTGGCGCGACCTTTTTTCAGACCGCATGAAACGTCGGTAGCCCAATAAATATGGTCCAAATTCAGGATTAAAACTCAAACCTTGTTTTAAAAAAAAACCTTCATTGGTTGACCTCAAGTTGAAAACAATAACTTCAGATCGTCATCTTTTTTCACAGTCGGTAAACTGGAAAAGTTAGGCTTTGCATTGAATTTTGCGCTGCACCCATTTAAAATGAGCGGTGCAAGAAACAATGCCCTGGATCCCCAAAAAATTTGAACTCTTAGTTGTGAAATTAAGTAAATCTGGGCCAAAAAGAGCACACAAATTGATCAGTTCAGAGCGTAGCCCCCAATGTTCTGACTTCCAACTTTTAAATAATTCATGGTTATCAAAAACTTTTTAAGTTAAAAATAAATTTTCTTTCAGAAAAAGAATAATTGATTGCTCATTGCTATGAAAAGAGCACAAATAATTCGACCACTGTTGCAAATAAAACAAAACTGCTCGTATCAAGGCGAAGCCCTGAATGTTCCGTCTGCCTTTTATGGTCTTTGGAGCAGTAATAACATTTAAAAAAATTAAATGTAAAAAAAAAACAAAAAAAAATATTTTTTTTTGAAATTCATGCCCCCACACGCAATATTAAGTACAATGTGATTGATTTTGCTCGGAGTAACAAATCACTATGGCAAATAGGCTTCCTTTAAAAAATATGGAGATTTCTAGGACGGATGAAATCTCCGCTTACGCGTTAATTGCGCGAAGCTTACAGTGCTGATTTAAATTAACCGGACAAAACGCGTTAAACTTGAAAATTAAAACACGTTTTTCTCAAAATGGGTTGACTTTAGGAGAAAACTGATGAAGACAAAACCTGCTTAAAGTTTTAGCAGACTTAATATGGGGTAATTTGCTGTGCGAAATTCGGGCCCAAAGTTTTACCCCAAAAATTGGTAATTTTGGCTTTTCTTAGTTGATCAAAAATTACGCCAAAAATACCGAGTCGATCACAGACATAATTAGATCAAAGTGAGCCCCTTACGTAGCCCAACAAACTTTGAGAAGGGTATATACTCCAAAAAAAAATTTGCAAGCCGTTTAAAAATTGTTTTTAAATAAATAGTTGGTATTTTATGTGAAATTGACCTTTTTTGTCTATCAAACAAAATAAATTATTTATACAATGTTTTGGAGAATAGACCCTTCTTAAATTTTGTTGGGCTACGTAAGGGGCTTATTTTGATTTTATTATGTCTGTTATCGACTGGATATTTTTGGCGTAATTTTTGATTAACTAAGAAAAGCCAAAATGACCAATTTTTGGGGTAAAATTTCGGGCCCGAATTTCGCAAAATAAATTACACCATATTAATTCTGCTTAAGTTTTAAGCAAGTTTTGTCTTCATAAGTTTTTTCCCAAACTCAACCCAATTTGAGAAAAACACGTTTTAAAATTCAAGTTTAACGCGTTTTGTCCTGTTAATTCAAATCAGTACTGTATCGCGCGTTAATTGTCCCAAATTGGACAAAACACAATCTTTAAACACCTGTAACTTTACGAAAAACGATCACAGGTGAAATATTTTTTCAAATTTCAGCTCAGGGCAACAATATTTTCTAAAACAAATTTGTCAGAAATGGTAGTTATGCTCTTTTAAATTAGAGGAGGACAATGTAGGGAGAACAATCTAAAAAATGTAAGATTCTTAAAGTTAACTCCACTTGCAAGGTTAAGTGTACACTGATAAATTTCTCATCTCGCGCCAAGTTCTTTCGAACAGCGTATTACCTTAATTGAGTTTGGAATTTATATCTACTTAACAATTGCCCCACCCCTTTTCCCCCCTCTTAAGAAAGGGGGAGGCAATTGTTAACTCATTTTCGACCAATCAGATTGCAGCCAAATTTCGCAAGAGCTTTTTACTGCTTTTATTAATACGGATGGCAATTTTTAAGTAGATACAATGGGAGGGCGATTGTTAATTGTTTCTGGAATTTTTTAATTCGTCGTTCAGACTTTGAGTGAAGAAAAAACTGGTAAATAGCGACTTTAATGATCCCAATTGGATAAAACTGGAAATTTTCATACCCTAGAACCTTACAAAAAACAAACGCAGTTCAATTTTTTTTTAGTTTTGAGTTCTTCCACGTTGTATCAGAAGCTTACTAAAAAAGCATAATTGAAACGCGCCAAGTCGGTTTAAAGAAAAAACCAAGCATAATTATTCCGACACGCTATTCGAAAGCCAGAACAAAAAGGCTCAATTACTTTAAGCATTTAGAGTTTGAGCTTAAGCAAAGATAAAATTAACGCATCAGTTTAAAGTTATCCAGAAAAAAGGTCTTGTTCAGACCAGTTTTTTGCGACTTTTTTTGAAAAAATTGAATGAAGAGGTTGCCTTGACGCGAGCAGTGTTCTCCTGGACTTTTGCTGACAGTTATAAAATATTTGTTCTTGGGTGTTTTTTAAAACAATTTTTGGCTCTTCACTTGAAATTTTTTTGCTGACTTTTTTTGGAATGAAAAAAAATTGATACCTATAATTCAAATTAAGAACGATATTTTACGTTTTGTTTCAAAGTAATGGTTTTTGAAAATTGCCAAAAAAAGCTAAACTGAATAATCTTTAGCTATTGTTTCAAGGGCTCGAGATACTGTTTCTTGTGTCTCGAGCCCTTCAAGGAGAAAAAATTGTTTCAATTTTCTTTTGGAAAATGGTCTTTTTTATAGCAAAAGGTAGCTTAAACACGGTAAAAAGTAGTTGAAATTTTTAAAATTTTGCCCTGATATTTGCTGCCCACTTATCACTTTGCTTCTAAGTTAGCCCAATTTGAGAGAACTCCATGATTCACATCTGTTTTGATCTGGCACGTTTGTTTCAGCCTTGAACTTTTTCTCATTGGACGAGGCAACTGGCTCTCTATTGGTGGAAAAAAGTTTGAGTGACATGATTGGTCAGTTTTCGTTCTCCGTGGTAGCCGAAGACAGAGGGAGGAGGAGGTCGACTGCAAATGTGGTGGTGACTGTGAGGGATGTGAACAACCACGCCCCTCAAATATCATCCCCTTTCCCCAATCAGGAGTTCAACATCAGCGAGGTATACAGGATAAGTTGTAAATTTTCAGCCAATCAGATTCAAGTTTTTAGATATCATAGCAAAATTAGACCCAGTTGAATAACTGTTTGGGTCAATTTAGAAGGTGGATTTTAACTTGGCTCAAAGTAAGTTGCAATTATTGTCACCTTACAAAACCCATAAATTTGACAAAAGCTAGTTATTTCGAAAATGAAATTGATATTTAACCTTGGTAAATCAAAAAGCGATCAATTTTATCGAAAATGGGAGCGGCGATGAAGTGGTTACGTCTTCTAATCGAAAGGTCGGATGTTCGAGGCCCACCATGATCGGTGCTCGTTGCTTGAGGGTGAGGCAACATTACCCGGCCCAGAAAGTTATCCGAAAGAATACATGTAGATTTTTAACAGGGACAGATCACCGGTTCTCCGTGAATAGCTGAACAGCTCGTATGTTGGACCTTTCCCTTGAAGATAAAACCATCTTAATCTAAAATGCGTCAAAAAGAATGAGTCAAAAGTGGTTATATAGGTTTGAATATAATAAAGGTCGCCGACCATACTGATAACTTTTGTACTGAAATTGCACTGATTTTTCACTACTCTCGTTTTTTAATCAATTGACTGTCATCAGAGCTTCACACTTGAGCAAAAAAATGAACAAAACTATCAAAAACAAGTTGCGCTCAAACTTAAATGCTTTTTCAGATTTTTATCAGTAATTTCAAGTTGTCGCATTCTGTTTTTCCAGAGTGTAGATGTCGGTTACGAAATAGTTCGAGTTCTAGCATCAGACAACGACGAGGGAAAAAATAGTGAGCTTTCCTTTTCTCTCGAGTCGACCTCCCCCTCGGATCTGGAAAAATTTACACTAGAGGGGAATATTCTGAGAGTGAGCGCCAGTCTAGACGCCGAATTGCAGAAACAACACACGGTCAGTTTGTATGAAACAAGCAAAAAAATCAGAACAAACTTGTTTTCAAGAAGGTAGCAACTTGTTTATTATTTACAAAATTTATCCCAAAAAATGTCATCTTGCAAGAACACCAAAGAGGCCAGTTAGCTACCATTCGATTGGTGTCATTAACAAAAGAAAATGTGGTCGTTCTGATTTTGTGACAATGGAGCAATCAAAATTTTGGTGTATAGTATGCGGATTCCGAGACAAGGTTAAAAAAAGACTTTTTAAAATTTAAAATGGCTTCAGTAAGATGACAAATGACCCCATCTGAAGTTAAATTGTTGTATATGGCTAGGTAATTTTTGGTTTTAAATTTTTGGTAGTTTGAGAAAAAAGGCCTGTTTTTTTACAAATTTGTTTTTATCTTAGCAAATGACCCGGGTTGACCTCCATAGACCAAAAATGCTAATCATACAATTCCATAAATTAAGTCTATGAAAAAATACTAATTATACAAAGTTCATACATTTTGCTAAAATCGTGTCATTGAATTTTCTAACAACTTTTCTCTTGTTAAGGCATAAAATTCGGTGTACCGTACTGAAAAAAAAGAAAAACTTTTGTCAAAAAAATGCTAATCATACAATTTCCATATAGGAAAAAATACTAATCATAGACCTTTCATGCAATTTTCTGTAGTTATGGAACTCCATGAAAATTGTATGACTAGCATTTTTGGTCAACCCGGGGAAATAAGAAATAATAATTGTGTTTACAAAAAAAACACTTTTTGGTGATTTTTGGATTTTTTGGGTGAAACACTAATCCTGGACTACGTTATAAACACAAAAAATAAAATTTTGCATGCAAAGTTTTTTTTTGTTAAAATTTATATTTGAGCACAAAAGCAAGTTGGCAACCAAAAAAGTGATTAAATAATTTTTACTTCAAATTTGTGTTTTTGCTTATGAAAAAATGCATATCATACAATAACAATTTTCATATATCAAAAATATATGATAAGCATTTTTTTGACCAAAATTAAAATCATGTTTTTGAGAGTCAAAATGCATTCTTTCAATAAAAATTTTTTAAACTCATGTAAACTCATCCAGAAAAATCGTTAAATTAATTTTGAAGATTTTATTTTTCTTTAGCAAATGCTTATCATACAATTTTCATATATGAAAATATTATAACAAGCATTTTTTGACCAAAATTAAAATCATGTTTTTATTGAGCAGAAAGATTCAAAAGATGGAAATAGAACAGAAGTATTTCTCTAAAAACATTTAATTTAGTTTTTAAGTTTTGTATGAAAATTGTATGATAACATTTTTCCATAGTCGCCATATATGAAATTTTATGATAAGCATTTTTCTTTTATGGACGTCAACCCGGGGAGTTCTGGTTACAATAAACAACAAATGCGTTTTCAGGAAGGGAACTGACTCAGGGGCGGATTTAGGGGGGCGGACGCCTCCCCCCCCCCCCTCACGGATTCGAACCCCTGCCGACCCAAAGGGTCCCCCCTTTGATACTTATTCAGAAATCCGTTTTTGGCCAACCGACCCTAAAATTTTTCTAAAGGCGCCTTCGCCGCCAATACATAATAACTTTGAGGGGGAGAGCGCGCCAAAAAAAACGCATTTTTTTTTGTCAAAATTTTTCAAAAAGTGCCCATAAACGGCTTTTTTTGACTGTTTTTTCAAAAATTTGCATGCGGCGCAGAAAATTTAGCCAAAATAGGGGCAAAACAGTGCTTTGGGAGAGCTCGAAAAATCAATTTGGTCGACCTAAAAAAAAGGTCGTCAAAATTTTCGAAAATTTTTTCAAAATCCGCCCCCCCCCCTCTCGAAAAAATCCTAGATCCGCCCCTGAACTGACTCGATTTTTAATACAACTCTAACAAAAGAAAAAATCACATCTTGGAGGAACGCCAAAACTAGGGCTAACATAACTTGCCGACCGGCTGTCCTGAAAGTGTTTAAGAGTTATGTTGCATCCGCTTGATTTCAGCTGGTGTTGGTTGTGCATGACGGGGGTACTCCCAGTCTCAAGGACGAGGTGAATGTGCGCATCAACGTCCTCGACATCGCGGACTCCCTCCCCTACTTTCCAGAAACACAGGTAGATAGAAACCCTGTCAATAAAAAGGTGTGAGATATGGCCTAGAATACACCCAAGATAAATTTCAAGGATTTCAACATTTTGTAGTTTTGAGCTGAAAAAATAAGGGCGCTTAGCATAGTGGTAAGGCGTTAACTTTACGATCGTCAGATCGCCAATCGATCCATTGTCATTGCTCTCACTTGACCCCTAGTTTCGACCAACCGCAGTCTGACCAATTTCGGCTGCAAAAATGGTACCACGTGAAAGTTCTAGATGCAATAAAACGGCGTTGAGTCGTCAAAAAAAGAGCTTCGCTCAATAAAATAACTCAGTCTGGAATGTGGAGAAGTAAGAAAAACAGACTACGCTTAGACAGTTTGGATAGCTTTTTATTAATCCTCTGCGAATCGCAGAGACTACAATTAAATTAAATAATGAAGAAACTAAAGTTGATCAGACCTGTTTCTGGCTTGTTTTGTTCATCATGAATGTAATTTAATCCAGAGCAACATCTGACGTTAAAAATGATCAAAAAATTGATATTACTTTGTTTTTGTATATAGAAAGTTTCAGTCAATGAAAACTGCAATTTTAATTGCTAAACAGTTTTAATTAAAGCAAAATAATGAAGCGCCTGATTCTAAATCAAGTTGAGAGGTTTCGGGGATTTCGGGGGGTTTCTGAACAATGCCATTTTCTTTCAAGAACCGCCGTTGGCGCTGAATTCTTTGCTGAATGTTTTCTTCCAGGATTTCGGGAAACTCGAAAAATTTCAAATGGTTGATCTAATGAAATCAGCAAAGCTCGACAGAAAACCGACAAAAAAGCTCGACAAACAAAAAATTAAAATTGTTGTCCTAAATTGAAGTTCATTAAAAATCAAAAAAAATGTCCCCGCAAAAAAACTTCTGTGCACGCCACTGACCTTTCTATTTTAGGTGAGTATGAGCGTGGCAGAAGATCAAGAAGTGGGCAACAGTGTCGGCAAAGTAGTGGCCGAAGACAGAGACACCACCGACCAAGAACCCATCCGGTACTCAATCATAAGTGAGTCATCATTGATGTCACAGCCACTAGCTTTTAAGTCATCCTCTACTTAGCAGCGGGAAACAATTGTGGTTTCCAACTTTTTAAATTAAAAAAAAACTAAATTGTAGATTTTAGGACGTCAGTTGCATTTTCGATAGAATCTCAACTCAGTTACCTTTTTTTTTTGTTTTGTATGGTCTGCCAGAATATACGAAGTGAAAGAAAAAAAAATTTTTTTTTTCAGCCTTGCACCTCAGCGTGGCACCGAAGCGCGTGAAAAAATTTATAAATGGGTGCGAGGGACAGCTCCATTTTTGTGCTTTTGTAAGTGGAGTCTGTGGGGCTCGAACCGCTACCCTGGTTTTTACGAGTGCTTTTGTATATACAACTCGGACCAAGTTTAGCCCACTAGATTGGTTTGCTATGATTAATGGTTTGTTCAGGAGGTAACGATGACAACAACTTTTCCATCGGCACGACCACTGGCATCATCCGGGTAAATATGCCTCTGGACAGGGAATCACGTGACGAGTACTGGTTGACAGTGGAGGCTTCTCAGGTCACAGAGCTGCCCAACCCAGAGTTCGCCACCCAGATTGTGATTGTGAGAGTCGCAGATGTTAACGACAACCCCCCTCAATTCTCAAAGCAGATATATATTACTGGTCAGTTCTCTTAGCATCGTTTTCTCGTTAGGCCATATTTTAAATTTTTTGTATGAGAACAAAGAAGATTTATTACGTTTACCAAGTCACAATGTAGAATATTATTGGTCGATTTAATTTTTTAAGCAAAAAAAGTCTTGAAAGTGTTCAGGCTTAAAGTCGATTTTATTTTTCGCGGTTTAAAACTTGATTTTTTCAGGCTGCAACTTTTTTTTCGATTGTGTTTTTTCAGAGATGTCCAGTTTTTGAGTATAATAAGTTGCAAAAAGTTGAAGCAAAGCAAAATTAATTAACGAGAGCAATCTGCCAGTTTTGAGCTATAATTAGTAGCAAAAAGTTCGGACAGACAGAATTAATTTCAATTAATTAAAATGAGCAATCAGTGCTTTTCGATGCTTTTTTACATGCAAAATCTGAAGCCGAACAACCTTGAATTTTTTGTCAAACCAAATTCAAATTGCGAGATTGTCGATTATCCGATGATTATGCTAGCCTAATTTTTAAATACTGCTATGAGCATCCAGATTTTGCTATAAAACATTTCGACGCTTCGGATGCAATTGCCCGCCGTGGCTATAGGTTTTGAGCGAAACTCGGATCTACTTAACAATCCCCCTATTGTATCTACTAAAGAATCTCCACCCCTGTAAGTAAAACAGTAATTTCGCACAAGAGCATTGTATGTAAAATGGGATGTTGATGTCTAGACAGTTGCTCTTTTTAATTAATTCTGTCTGTCCGAACTTTTTGCAACTCTCTATAATTTTGCATGCAAATTTGGTTTTTTGGTTGACCTTGAGACAGACTTCTTGTCTAAAAATAAGCTTTTGAATACCAAAGTTGTCTTAAATAGGTCATTTGCTCTTTTTATAGATCGTTTTTATAAAGAGAGTTGCAAAAAATTCGGACAGACAGAAATAATTAAAAAGAGCATCGTCCAGTTTGACCAATTTTTGCATGCAATTTTGTTTTTTGAGACATCGTTAAGTCACATGTTCGGGCTGATAAATTAGGTTTTGCATGCAAGACTTTCCAAAATGGGTCAGTTGCTCTTTTTATTTATTTTTGTTTCTCACACATTCATTTTTCTTTCACACAATTTTTAACGTTTTTAAACGAATGAAAAGATTTTTATTTCGAGATTAAAAGGCAGTCGAAACATTCAAGTGTTTGCCCTGATGCCAGTTGTCTTGTTTAAATTTACTCCCTAAGTCCATGAACTTGAATTTGATAGCTGTCAAGAAAAATGCGCAAATCAATTGGAAACATTATGAGAGGCAATTTTGCAAGTTTTTGCCTCAATGCTGCGATAACAGAATATTTACTAAACTACATTACAAAATCATTGGGTTTTTTTCCTTGCCTTGAGTAAAAAATCCTCAAAATGTCCTTTTTTGATCTGATCAAAATTAATTGAAATCTGACATCATTGAGATAAATAAAAACACGCAAATGGCAGAACAAACCGTGAAGTTCAATTATACCGGGTCCCAGCTTTCCATAACAGTTCTTATATTTTCCTAGTGTTTGTGAATGCTTACTTCAAATACATCTTCAAATAGACCTTAGAAAAAATAGCTCGATTAGTTCTGAAAGTACCGAGCAAAATAAGGTTCTTTTAAGGCAATTGGGTTCATTCGTGTTCGTGCTTGCCAGCCCCGGGAAGCAAACTGCTCATGGAAACAACTGGTGGTTATCGGTCTGAAGCGCATCAACCGTCAGGAAAATGGGAGATGACATATTTTGAGGCCGTTAAGTTGGGTGAGAGCGTGCTTAGAGGAGACGTCTCGAATCAATTCTACATCCTGATTTGATTAATTGCCAGTGCAAAGTTTAAGATTCAGTAGTTTGATTTTGATTTCCTTAAGGTGCTAGAACGATTCGATTAGAATAGCATGTAGGTTGGGTGTAAAAATTATTATTTTCTGGGAGTATTGGGGTACTTTAGTGTGGCATCTCCTAATTTGGTGTAATCCTTTGCGGTGGGGTCAGCAGTAATCAGATCTACCCCGGTGTATCCTGGGGATTTGAGTTTTTGGGTTGTTGGGCTGGTATTTGGAAATCCTATTGCTAGCATGATGTGTTCGCCGTTTTACTGTGACGGCTGCGATATCACCAACAGCTCATCAAATGAGGCCATTTCTGCCAACGTCACACGACGCATTGCCCAGTGCTCGAAGAAGCAAGTGTGTACCTTGGAGAGCCTTGCTGCGGCAAACGTAAACCATGGGGGTCACTCGGCATTTTTGCATTGCTCTTGCCATGTATGGATCCGACCAAGAAAGCCACCAGACAAGTGTCATTAGTAGTCTCGCAGGTCTTTGGATAGAGACGACTATTGTCACAATTTTTTGTGTTAATGGACACCAGGAGCGTAGGACTGACTGTGGTCTACAGAATGCCCTGATGATTGCGAAAACTGTTTGGGGGAAAGGGCTTTCCCGAAGTTGCCATGAATGGTAACCGCCACAATACTTTTAGCACTGTGGATCCTATGATGCAATCTTAGGAAGGGTTTTTACCCATTGATACTAAAAAAGGCTCGGATTTGTAAGGCGGGTAGCTAGGCAACTTGCTACGCTTTAAGAATAGTGCTTCTTGGTGAAACTAACTCTCAGTGATGGCCATTTATGGTTATGAGTATAGGATAGAGAACTTTCGCCCAGGAATAGGTATTTCGCCGGGCCTAAGGAACGAAAACATTTACGGGATAAATAAAATAAAGGTCTTGGGAGATTCACTGATAAAGTAGCAGGGTTAAGAGATTTGACTTGAACTGGCGGGCTAGAGTTGACTGATGCCAGGAGTAAGTTGAACAAATTGTGACACCTACCGCTTGCCTGTATCTAACATCCGCGACGAGATTGGTTAAAGAAACCGAACTTGTCACTTGTTGGTGTGGACAGGGGAGGGTAATCTGAACTAACCAGGGGAAAAAGTTAGCCAATTAACTGTTGCAGCATAGATTTAGACATTTAACCATAGTTACCAGAGTTGGTAAAAGTCAATTGCAATCAATTAATTGCAAATAATCAATTGAACTTTATCTGAAAAAATTTGATTGCGAAGTTTGTTAAACTGAAACAATTGATCGTCAACCCAGAAACTTGAAACAACTGGAAAACTGAAATGCTTTTGCAGACTTTTCTCTATAAATCCCATAAGCAAGAATTGGAATCCCATAAGAAAAAAAATTTTTGTAGCATAATGCATTAGCTTTCGTGAATAGTGATTTTTTCGAAGGCATTATGAATTTCACAAACGAATTACTTTTTGCGCTTGTAGAAGGGTTGCAATGAGTTCAAATTAATGATTTGGAACTTCTGCAATTACAATTAACCGATTGCACCGAACAAAAATTGATTTTGGGGGTTGCAATAAACTTTTGACCACCCCTGATGAGTAATGGACCCAATCTTGCTTAAAATAGTATTTGATGCAGGACAGTTATATTATTTTGAATAAAAAACTGTTCCTTAAGCCGCAACGCAAGTTAACAATAATACAATCCGCGGCGAAAAAAGTATAGAATCATTAGATCAAAAAATAAACTAAAACTCTCTATATCGAAAATAAACCTATAATAAGTATTTCTAGAAAACAGCAAAACTTTTTCGTAAATCAGTGAAAAAATTTTAAAAATCCTTTTGTAAGAATCGTGTTTAATTTTTATTACTTTAAAAAGTTGCATTCCAGTTTAAATTACCTAAGCATTTTGGCTTCTAAACATAACAGAACACCACGCATTCACTGGATGCTATAGCTGTTTCCAAGGCCAGTTTTTGGCCGATAGCTGTAGCATGTAAGCTTTCTAATGACTAATTTTTCAATTTGTTGTTCCGATCATTGAAAGTGGAGAGGAGCTTTGTATTCGGGTGTGTTTTAGTTTTTTCTTTTTGTTTTCCACGCAAAATCAGGTACCACAAATAATTTGAGTGATATATCATATTAAATACCTATCAGTCGTGATTCGAACCACATTGAAAAATTCCCAAAATTTTTTTCTAATGTCGAGAAAAGTTGGTTTCAGCGAATAAAGCAAGCGAGCATGCCTAAAACAGCTGATTTATACCTAATTTAAGACCTTAAAACTCAATTTTAAAGAAGTAAAACTAGCTTTTGGAGTTTTTTTAGCTTCATTTTGGGATTTTTTAAAGTTGTTCTAGTAAATTTTCAACAAAAATTTTTGTCCATTTTGCCTATATTAGTATGACTGTCTAATATGCCTAAATAATATTTTTACGTTCGGTCCTCCTTTTACTACACCAAGCAGAAAAAACTACACTATTTTGGAAAAAACTTTCTAAACCGTAGTTTTCTGAAGACTATGGTCGGAAAATTCTGTGCTACTTGCACAATAACCGGCTATTCTTGTTTTATTTATGACTCCATTGTACAATCGACTCGGTTGTGCTGCAGGTATCTCGGTGGAGACCCAGACAGACCCGGATGTGATCCAGCTGTCGGCATCCGATCCAGACACCGTGGACTCGGACCAGCTGCGCTTCCAAATAGTGGACACTCGCACACAGTTCATAGGCGCAGACGGGTTTGTATTTCAAAAAAAACTGGACGCCTGCTGGGTCGGATTTAGAAAGCGGTGGGGGATTTCGACTTCAGGGACTTGACATACTGACTGCCAAAAGAGTCACAACCTTGAAAAGAGCGCCCTTTTGGCAAAATTTTTGCAGTGTTTTGGGAGAGCTCGGAAAGTAAATTTGGTTAACCTAAAAAAGTCCCCCTCGAGAAAATCCGGATGTCTCTATTTATGTTTAAACAAGCCGACTTTCATATCATAAAGAGACATTTTTTGTAAAAGAGCTATTAATTTGCTTTCTTTTGCAATATACCATTGACGAAAACTGATGATGATTGAAGCCTCCGAGATTAAAATTGATCGGCTAGTTTGTGGTGGGTTTTGGTCTCGCTCTTTTTAACTTCGATAAAGCGACTATTCGTAGAGTGCGATAGTTCTTAACCATTTATATAAAGGCATGGGCATCCGCTGCGCTTAACTTCGGCCGAGAGGAACAATGGGCGTGAATAATCTCCATTTCGACGAGCTGTCGCCTCTTGCGTTTGCGGGCTTGGCCAGTTATAGTTTTTTTTAGGTTCGATCCAGATGAACTGTTCCGGATAGACGAGAGGAGTGGACTGATTGAGAGGACAGTCAAGTTTCCCCAGACCGTCTCGGGCTACATTGACCTCAGAGTGGAAGTGACAGACTCAAACCTCAGACACAAGGTCACCTGCGAGGTCAAGGTCAGTGGTCTGATTTTTAGACTACATTTTCCTGACACCCCTCCACACACACACACACACACACACACACACACACACACACACACACACACATACACACATATGTATTTGTACTATTTTGTATCATTTTGAGATATTCCCCCCTTTGTACTATTTTGAGATATTCGTTTTTGGCTGACGGACCCTAAAATTTTTCTTAAGGCGCCTTTGGCGCCAATATATACTAATTTTGAGGGGGAGGGGGGGGCCAAAAAAAGCTATTTTTTGGTCGAAATTTTTTTAAAAAATTTTGCCTTCGGCGCAAGAAGTTTGGCCAAAACACATTCTTTTTAGTGCTCTAAGAAAGCTCGGAAAACCAATTTGATCGACCAAAAACAAGCTCGACAACATTTGCAAATTTTTTTTTATAATCCGCCCCCTCCCCCTCGAGAAAATCCTAGATCCGCCCCTGTATATATATAATCATTATGCCGTTTTGATTTTGCCATTCCTGCCGGATGACACTCCCCCTGGGAATAAAATAAACATAAGTTTTTGGCTACCGTAGGATTTAAATTTATTTGAGTTTATTTAGTCCCCCGGTGGGACTGTTTTGTGTTTTATAGTCCCTAGCACTTTTAGCAATATCTTAAGGGTTCATCTTCTGATGTTTTTTTCGCCCTTGTCTTGGGTTGTCGTTTCTTCGTTTTCGTCGTCCTCCAAATTTTTAACGTGTTCTTCTGTGTTGTTCTTTTTCGTATCATCTTTTTGTGTCCTCATGTTTCCATCATCGATAAGATAACTAAGAAAACCTCTCTGTTTTCTCAAATTTTTCTGTTTGTATTGAAAGTTGGTGACACCAAATCCACTATGTCCACACTTTTTCCCTTGGGTTTTGGTTTTATAGCTTCTAGAAATTTTAGGCAAGCTTGGTATTCCGGAGGTTTTTTGTGGAAGCCCATTTAGTTACTCAGGCTTTTTATGCTTGAACTTTTCCCTTCTACTTGTTTGTCGGTCGGTAACTCGATAGCCAGTTGTTTCTTTTTGACCTTAGTCTCCGGTCGCTTTTGATTAGTTTCATCAATTGTACCGATTGGCACTGGGTCTCTCAACGCTCTTGCCAACGCCGATTGTCTGACTTTAGTGGATTTTTTAGTTGCTTCAGCCGAGATTCTCCCAATGAATTTACAATGTTGAGAAGCAACCGCTGTTTAATGGGGCTGATTTAAGGGGATAGTGTTAAAAAATTAGGATAAAACGTTGGGTTGAATAAGACTGTATAACTTAAACTAATACTAGTTTAAGACGAGGTTGTTTAAGATTCCTACAAGGTGGCTGTAGGCTTTTATCTAAGACTAAATAAAAGACTGTGGTATCTAACTAAGGTAAAAGATGTTAAAAAGGTTGAATTGGTTTCAGATGATTTGTTGCATATCGAAATTGATAGTGAACAAACTCCAAATCTACCAAAAGCCGTTGCGCTTTTGGCAGGTGTTTTTTAAATTGGTATGGTAAAAGGTCACAACTAAGTATAACTCAAAGGTTAAACGGTCAACATTAAATAACTCATTTTACATTCCCCGCGAAAATTTAACTATGATCTATACTCTTCGCCACACAAAGGAATGTTCTAGCGCTGGGATAAATGATCGGGTAGCTGATTAGGAAAAGCCCCGCAAGAGGGCCCGATGGGCAATAAGGTAGCACTATAGTGTAATACAGAGTATATGATCTATATTCTTTACCACAACAAGAAATGTTTTAGCGCTAGAATAAATGGTCGGGTAGGCTGGTTAGGAAAAGCCCCACAAGAGGGCCCGATGGGCACGAAAGTAGCACTAAAATGAATAGGTCATATAATTATCCAATGGTGACCCCCAATGGGTGAGATAAGGATTTAGCAGTAGATGAAAGCGTGATTATATGGCTCAATTTAAGCTTTATAGTGGTACCAGAAATAATTCAATTTTAGCGTAATAGGCCAGCATTGGAAGTTTGTTTTTAGCTCTAAATGCGCTTTAATGTTACGCGAGGCTCGACAGTACACAAAATCTAAGTTACTAAAAGAGTTTTGGAATGTCAAAAAGTTTCTGAAAGTTTTTATGGTAAGGTTACTGGACTTCAATACTTCTAACTTGCGTCCCGATTTACAGCTCTATTAATCGTCCATCTCTTTAACTCCTCGAGCGTCATTGGCCGTCCTAAGAGTTCTATCGCTGAGATGATAGAGGAAGTATTTAACCAGTCAGGATCGAGTACTTAAGGTGAAGATGTTGGTTCGGAAGTTTCGTAGGGTAGGCCCGATGGGTGGAATTTGGTAGTGCAGACCTTCGGACTGAATGTGACCTTCTTGCTTGATTTACTTTGATTTGCTGCTACAAGGGACTTTGTATCACTTGGGTACTCGAAGCTTTCTTGCCAACGCCGATTGTCTGACTTTAGTGGATTTTCTAGTTGCTTCAGCCGAGATTCTCCCAATGAATTTACAATGTTGAGAAGCAACCGCTGTTTAATGGGGCTGATTTAAGGGGATAGTGTTAAAAAATTAGGATAAAACGTTGGGTTGAATAAGACTGTATAACTTAAACTAATACTAGTTTAAGACGAGGTTGTTTAAGATTCCTACAAGGTGGTTGTAGGCTTTTATCTATGACTAAATAAAAGACTGTGGTATCTAACTAAGGTAAAAGATGTTAAAAAGGTTGAATTGGTTTCAGATGATTTGTTGCATATCGAAATTGATAGTGAACAAACTCCAAATCTACCAAAAGCCGTTGCGCTTTTGGCAGGTGTTTTTTAAATTGGTATGGTAAAAGGTCACAACTAAGTATAACTCAAAGGTTAAACGGTCAACATTAAATAACTCATTTTACATTCCCCGCGAAAATTTAACTATGATCTATACTCTTCGCCACACAAAGAAATGTTCTAGCGCTGGGATAAATGATCGGGTAGCTGATTAGGAAAAGCCCCGCAAGAGGGCCCGATGAGCAAGAAAGTAGCACTATAATGTAATACAGAGTATATGATCTATATTCTTCGCCACAACAAGAAATGTTTTAGCGCTAGAATAAATGGTCGGGTAGGCTGGTTAGGAAAAGCCCCACAAGAGGGCCCGATGGGCACGAAAGTAGCACTAAAATGAATAGGTCATATAATTATCCAATGGTGACCCCCAATGGGTGAGATAAGGATTTAGCAGTAGATGAGAGCGTGATTATATGGCTCAATTTAAGCTTTATAGTGGTACCAGAAAAAATTCAATTTTAGCGTATTAGGCCAGCATTGGAAGTTTGTGTTTAGCTCTAAATGCGCTTTAATGTTACGCGAGGCTCGACAGTACACAAAATCTAAGTTACTAAAAGAGTTTTGGAATGTCAAAAAGTTTCTGAAAGTTTTTATGGTAAGGTTACTGGACTTCAATACTTCTAACTTGCGTCCCGATTTGCAGCTCTATTAATCGTCCATCTCTTTAACTCCTCGAGCGTCATTGGCCGTCCTAAGAGTTCTATCGCTGAGATGATAGAGGAAGTATTTAACCAGCCAGGATCGAGTACTTAAGGTGAAGATGTTGGTTCGGAAGTTTCGGAGGGTAGGCCCGATGGGTGGAATTTGGTAGTGCAGACCTTCGGACTGAATGTGACCTTCTTGCTTGATTTACTTTGATTGGCTGCTACAAGGGACTTTGTATCACTTGGGTACTCGAAGCTTTCTTGACAACGCCGATTGTCTGACTTTAGTGGATTTTCTAGTTGCTTCAGCCGAGATTCTCCCAATGAATTTACAATGTTGAGAAGCAACCGCTGTTTAATGGGGCTGATTTAAGGGGATAGTGTTAAAAAATTAGGATAAAACGTTGGGTTGAATAAGACTGTATAACTTAAACTAATACTAGTTTAAGACGAGGTTGTTTAAGATTCCTACAAGGTGGTTGTAGGCTTTTATCTATGACTAAATAAAAGACTGTGGTATCTAACTAAGGTAAAAGATGTTAAAAAGGTTGAATTGGTTTCAGATGATTTGTTGCATATCGAAATTGATAGTGAACAAACTCCAAATCTACCAAAAGCCGTTGCGCTTTTGGCAGGTGTTTTTTAAATTGGTATGGTAAAAGGTCACAACTAAGTATAACTCAAAGGTTAAACGGTCAACATTAAATAACTCATTTTACATTCCCCGCGAAAATTTAACTATGATCTATACTCTTCGCCACACAAAGAAATGTTCTAGCGCTGGGATAAATGATCGGGTAGCTGATTAGGAAAAGCCCCGCAAGAGGGCCCGATGAGCAAGAAAGTAGCACTATAATGTAATACAGAGTATATGATCTATATTCTTCGCCACAACAAGAAATGTTTTAGCGCTAGAATAAATGGTCGGGTAGGCTGGTTAGGAAAAGCCCCACAAGAGGGCCCGATGGGCACGAAAGTAGCACTAAAATGAATAGGTCATATAATTATCCAATGGTGACCCCCAATGGGTGAGATAAGGATTTAGCAGTAGATGAGAGCGTGATTATATGGCTCAATTTAAGCTTTATAGTGGTACCAGAAAAAATTCAATTTTAGCGTATTAGGCCAGCATTGGAAGTTTGTATTTAGCTCTAAATGCGCTTTAATGTTACGCGAGGCTCGACAGTACACAAAATCTAAGTTACTAAAAGAGTTTTGGAATGTCAAAAAGTTTCTGAAAGTTTTTATGGTAAGGTTACTGGACTTCAATACTTCTAACTTGCGTCCCGATTTACAGCTCTATTAATCGTCCATCTCTTTAACTCCTCGAGCGTCATTGGCCGTCCTAAGAGTTCTATCGCTGAGATGATAGAGGAAGTATTTAACCAGCCAGGATCGAGTACTTAAGGTGAAGATGTTGGTTCGGAAGTTTCGGAGGGTAGGCCCGATGGGTGGAATTTGGTAGTGCAGACCTTCGGACTGAATGTGACCTTCTTGATTGATTTACTTTGATTAGCTGCTACAAGGGACTTTGTATCACTTGGGTACTCGAAGCTTTCTTGACAACGC